ACTAGAATTAATCTCCTGTAAAAACGGATTATAGTATTACATTGATACTTGACAAATTTTTAGTTTAAAGTGCAAGGAATAATCTAAGCATCATTTTATTGTCTGAATTCGGATCCTTGTACAAGTTATATAGTCTCAAAGAAAAAGTGCGCAAAACTTTTGGGCGGTTTTACCCTATTTAGTTTATATTTAATATAATATACTTTTTTTTTTATAATATGTTATAATAAAAAAGGAAAAATATTATACACGCAAAGAATATAACGAAATTAAACGAAATAACCTGTAGAAGAAAATGTGTTAGAATGTACTTATATTATACTATGTTACAGATCAATCCAATGATTTGTCTACATCAAGTGTGAATGAAGATAATAGCTGCAGAGATAATAGCTGCATATTCGAATCTTTATGTGAACATGACATTGAAGAGAGATTGTCAATTATTTCAAGCGGTAATTATTCAGCAACAGACGATGAAGATAATAAAAACGAATTTTTAAACGATGACAATGAAGATTTACGTAGCATAGCATCAGTGAACTCAGAGCACATAGACATCGATGACACTTTTATTCTTCCTGAAACTGATGATATAATTATGTTTGAGGCATCTGGAATAAGAATGTCTGATGTTAAAACAATGATAGCTGCTTATAGCATTCGTTTCTCTATTTCGGATGTGGCACAGACGGCACTGGTACATCTCGTTAGGACGTTAGCTGGCCCATCATTCAAACATTGGAATTGTAATATTTACGAAGTACAACAGGCATACGATCCACCTAGCGATATGATAACTTATAATTATTTTTGCACTACTTGTCACGCAACACTGCTACCACCTATCTCAAAAAAACAGTTCAAGAATGTAGTAAAATTCTGCCCAAAATGCAAGCAGCAACATAATCTGACTATTAACTCGCTAAACTATTATTTATCTGTTGATTTGGAATCGCAGATAAAAACTTTATTACACGATAAGAAAGTAAGACAGACATTATTGCATAATTTAAAAAAAATTGAAAATAGTTATCAAAGTAATAGACCACATTATATACGAGATGTGTATGACAGTACCATATATGCGAAGTTAAAATCTAGAACAAAGAGTGATGACTCACACATGCTAACGTATAACTTCAATACGGATGGAGCTCCAATATTTATAAGTTCAAAGAAGAGTATGTGGCCATTGCAAATAATTATCAATGAATTGCCTGTTAAAATGCGTTTTCGTAACATTCTACTGGGTGCTTTTTGGGTAGGAGAGGTAGAACCAACACCAGCTATGATGAATGCCTTTTTGAAGGAATTCGTTGTTCAAGCAAAACACCTACAATTGCATGGAGTGCGTATAGGGACTGAAATATTTCGATTTTATCCTTTCTGTTGCACGGTAGATTCCGTTGCTCGACCAATCATACAAAACCGAATACAATTCAACGGCTATTATGGTTGTAGCTGGTGTTACACACAAGGAAAATACTCCCATAAAGCCATACGATACCCGTTAACGAAAGAAGACGAACTAAGATGTCACAGTTCCCATCTTCAAGACGTAGTTGACGCAACGAAATTAGGGAAAGCAGTACGTGGCGTGAAAGGATCGACTATATTGTTACAACTGGAATATTTTGATTTTGTATGGGGTTTTCCAATAGATTACATGCACGGGGACTTATTAGGTGTAACGCGCCAAATGTTGGATATTTGGACAACACCAAATTCGCCTGTATACATAAATCCAAAAATTTTGAAAATTATTGATAATAATTTAGTACATATAACACCAGTGAAAGAAATTCATCGCATGCCAAGGTCAGTATCTCAGAGATCAAAATGGAAAGCTTCAGAGTGGCGATCTTGGTTACTTTTTTATTGTTTGCCATGCCTGCAAGGACATGTGCCAGAAAAAATAATGCATCACATGGCATTATTAGTTAAGAGCATTTTTACTTTACTAAAAGAACTAATAACTGAAAATGAACTAAAAGAATGTGAGTTGAATTTAATTCGATTTGTAGCAGATTTCCAAATATTGTATGGAGTAGAGTATATGACATTTAATGTCCACAGCTTATTACATATAGTAGACTGTGTCCGAAAAGTTGGACCATTATGGGCAACATCAGCTTTTCCGTTCGAAAGTGAGATTTACAATTATAAGCGACGAATTAGCGGGGCAAAAGGCATAACGGATCAAGTAGTGAATCGAACATTACGAAATAACAATTTTTGGCACAAAATAAGATCATCTCCTATGAACAATGTCGGAAGGGAATACGTTGACAAAATATTTTCCTGTAATAAGGACGGAATGGAAGATGATGAACATTTTCAAAATGATGAAGTGACATTTCTCGGCAGAAGAGAAGATGATGTT